AGGCAATTCGCATGCCTCCGGAAAGTGAAGGGGCCCTCCAAAAATGCAAGCCCCAGGACAAGGTCTTCCAATTCTAACATGTAGTATAATTTACCCAGTTTCCACTATGGTGTACTATGCATTTCAGATTGTTGCCGGATGTAATGGGGAAAATATACCAAAAATGATTCTAGGACCTGATCTAATGTTCCTCTTGCCTTCTTATAAACAATAGAGTTAATATTGATTTAAACAAACTAACAACAACATTTATTCAGTGACCCTTTGCAGAGGTCAGAGTGTTACACACACACATGAACACATCAAAGTTGACATATACTAAATCAGACCCTTGGTCCATCAAACCTAGTACTGTCTACTCAGGCTGGCAGCTGCTCTTCAGGGTCCCAGGCAGAGGACTTTCACATCACCTCCTACAAGATCTTTTAACTAGAAATGGTGGGGACTGAATCTGAGACCTTCTGCATGACAAGGTTAATGTTGGCTGTCTAGGGCAGATGAACTTGTAGGTGAATTTCAGAGTCTCTAGTTGTGCACAGGTGAATATTGAACAGAATGAGGTACTGGGAGTGATTTCGGGTTACTTTGTATGTGTGAGGGAGAGATGTGTTACAGCATTTGGTGCAGGCCAGCACTGTGATTCAGGGAGATACACATGGTTTTCAGAGGTAGGCAAGTGCTTCTTTTCGTCTAGAGGCCATAGGTCAAAAAGTCAAAATAGGTGTTCTGCACTGGATGTTTCTGGTAGTTTTTTAGAAGTGAATATGTCCCTGCTAAACACAAAGGTGTCTCAGATTGTTGTACCTGTTGTTGTCACAACAAACGGCAGGTACCAGTCTCCACGCTTGCCATCTAGGTATAACATGTACTGATTGACATATTATATTGTATCTTTTCTGTAGTGCTTTTACTATAGGTCTGTTGTTTTGCACAGGCTGTTCTATGTAATGAAATTTGACTTTATTCTGTTTTCACGTATTTTGTTTAAATTGAAGCACACATTCAAGCTGCCCTTCCAATGTCTCATTATTGAAGATAATCTATATATCTAATTCTCAACAGTCCCCTCTGCATGTGGATACTTATTTCTGAAGATTGGGGGCACACTCTCCCCCAACAGGTATTTCTACAGTCAGGGGACTCCATGGGTCTGCAGAAAAACCCAAAAAGTTAAAAAAACAACCTTAGGGAGGGTTAAATCCCTCCCCCCAATACATTTTGAAATGGCCACTACAGGGATCTATTCTAGGTCCCACCACATCGACAGTGAGACACACACACAGAGAGAGAGGGTGTGATCACAGGAGCTGTTTGGCCCAACCTAGCCACCCCTCCCCTGCTCCAGGTTGAGAAAATCCTGGAGATTCTGTGGTGAAGTCTGAGGAGTGCAGATTTTGGGGAGGGGAGAGGCTTCAGCTGGATATAATGCCACAGAGGCTACCCATTTTCTCCAGGGAGAAAGATCTCTGTTGTCTGGAGTTCAGTTGTAATTCTGGGGGATCTCCAGGTCCCACCTGGAGGCTGGCAAACCTAGGCCTAGCAACATCCTCTGGGTGACTTGATACCACCTGACTTGCATGATTCAACTAGGCCTGGCTGCTTGCTACTGTTCAACAGCAGCCACCCTATGAAAGTCAGTGTAGTGTAATGGTCAGAGCTTCAGGGTAGGGTCTGTGAGACCCAGGTTTAGATCCCCATCTTGCTGTGGAAGCTCACTGGTGATTTTGAACCAGTTACATACTTTCAGCCTAACCTACCTCATAGGGTTGTTGTGTATATAAAAAGGAGGAGAGAATAATGTAAACTGCTTTAGTCCCCCCTGTGGAGAAAGACCACAGTTTTCCTCGGTAGAGGCTGCAGGGGGAAAGGAGATGGAAAGCTGAAGACAGAGAAGAGGGGCAGATAAAGGTAGGTTGGAGATAGGGATGCCAACTCCAGGTTGGAAAATTCCTGGATATTTGAGGGGTGGAGCCTGGGGATGGTAAGGATTGAGGCAGGGAGGGACTTCAGACAGATATAATTCCATAAACTCCACCCTCTGAAGCAGTCATTTCTTCCAGGGGAACTAACATTGCCAACCCCCAAGTGAGGGCTGGAGATCTACTGGAATTACAACTGATCTCCAGATGACAGATATTTGTTTCACCAGATAAAATGGTTGCTTCAAAGGGTGGATTTTATGGTATTATGCCCTGCTGAGGTCACTTCCAAGCTCAAACCTCATCCTCCCAAAGCTCCAGCCCCAAATCTCCAGGAATTTCCCAACCTGGAGCTGACAACCCTAAGAGGAACTGATCTCTCTATTTGGGCAATCCACTGTGATTCCTGGAGAGCGGCTGCTGCCACTGCTGCTGTGAGGGGGGGGAGGAAGTAGATAGGAGGCCGGGAGAATGGCAGGGGTAGAAAGAGTAATGGGGTGGGGGCAGAAAGGAAGTGACAGGTATGGAGGGGAGGGGGAGAGGGAGAGAAAGAGAGAGAGAAAAGGGGTAGCAGGAAGGAGAATGAGTGTGAGAGGAGTAGGGAGGAAGAAGCAGAGGTAGGGGGAATGAGATAGCCACTCCCACAAGTTTCTTGTAGTTTATAATGATAATAGTTTATATGATAATGGTAAGGTTTGTATGTCTGAAAACTGGAAAAAAATTAATGTAGGCTTGCTTGCAGGTTTTATGCTAGTAGCTTTTTTGGCTCATGGAATAGGATTTTTGCTCACAAGACTACATGGTTTAGAGGGAACATTGTAATAGATAACCATTTGCTCCAATTGCCAGGAAGGGCAAAATGAATACCCGTTATTAAAACATGAACTGGGTACTGCCTTACGCAATACGTAGGGCTGCCAATTCCCCCTGGGGGGCAGATTTCCCCCCGCTTTGGAGGCCCGATTTCCGCCGCTGCGGAATCGGGCCCCGGGGGGAACCCCACCCCGGCGTGCACGTCAGCAAGATGTGACGTGCTGACGCCGGGCACGCTGGGGGCGGGGCCACAGCCATCTAAGGGGAAAACATGCGGCGCGCACGCTCAAGACGCCGTCTGGGAGCCCCCTGCTGCAGAACAAAAGGTATTTGGCAACCCTAGCAATACGCCACCCTAGACTGCTCTTACACTCTAAGACAGGCCTGTAGCCAAGGTGGTACACAACAACAGCACTGCCGACCCTTCCTGATCCAGATGTCTCTGGAGGTAATCCGTGAGGGTGACCAGTGCCGTCTCCATCCCATGGCCTGGGCAAAAGCTGGACTGGAAGGGATCTAACATTGAAGTGTCATCTATAAAGCCCTGCAACTGTAACACCACCGCCCTCTCAATTAATTTGCCCAGATAGGGCAAATTAGAAACCAGCCAATAGTTTGTCAATAAAGCCGGGTCCAGAGATGGTTTTTTAGAGAGAGGGCAGACCATCACTTCCTTGAGTGCCCCTGGGGAGGACTCTCCCCCAATAAGAAAAGCTAAGCGATTTTATGCTACAATGACAATGGGGGTGAACGACTGAAGCAAGATAGACTGAATTAATAAGCATTTAAGAACTTACCAAGCATATTAAGGAGTATCAGAGACTGTGATAACTTTTATAAAAAGTAAACAATCTCTAAAAATGGTGCCCATGAGGAAGGTTATGAGAAGAAAAAACAAGTTAAACCAAAACTTCCTGTCGGACCTGCTGGACCAGTGAGTCTTGCCCCTAGACAGAACACAACTGCAGAGCTACAAAAGATGCTAACGGAAGCATTGCGACCCCTGCTGGATCAAATAACAGCATTGCAAGGCAAATTCTTTTTTTTTTTGGCCCCCCGAAGGGGATTTTTTTATTGCATTTTCTATAAACTACAACAACAAAAAAGCGAGGGGAAAACTACATCTAAGGGAGAAAGGAAAGAAAACCACTAAAAACCCAAGTATAGGAGATTATTACAACAGCTTGTTTTAGTCTACAGTGCTATCATTACATTGAACATGGTCATTTAAGCTATATTATTTATCTTTGTAGTTATTAATTTCACTGTTTAAAGAAAATCACAAGAGCATCAACATTTGATAAATGCTTACAAGGCACAATTCAGAGTTCTTCAGCCATTTTATTTTATCCTTTCTAATCCTCAGTTGGTAATCGCGTTTGGGGGCCGCTGCCCCCTTCTCGGAAGCAGAGTCCTTGTCGGAAGTAGAGTTAGAGGAAGTAGCTATATCACTAGCTTTACTGTCTCCATCTTCTTTGCCATCCTCACCAGACTCTCCCAGTTGCAGTCACAGAAACTCCCGCACTTTGAAAATAGAGTCAATCTTTTCTTTTTTATCCTTAAATTGGTAGCCCAGGAAGAACTATCCAATCACCTACCATCCAGTTCCATGAGAGGGAATGCTTGTGATTGGTCTTTATTGTCACAATCTGATTGGTTGTTATTGTATAATAGGGCGTGGCTATATTAGCCGGGAGAGTTTAAAAGAAGAACAGCTTCAATGCTAAAGCTGTTCTGGCTATTCGAGTTGATCTCTTGGAGTTGTGTTACGCGTTGCTGAATAAAGCTGATCTTTTGCTGAATCACTCTCTGACTCCTTTGTTAAGTAGCCAACTTAACAGCTTCTATCAACTTCATGTGAATGCTAAGCAGCATGGGGGTCAGATGGACCCCTGCAGTACCCCACAACATAAAAACCACAGAGCTAAGCAGCATTCCCCCAGCACCACCTTCTGGATCTGGCCTACCAAATAATAACCACCAAAGCATGCTACTAGAGAGCTCCAGAAGCAAGTTCAGAAAAGTACAGTAGCAGCCTACATGTAATGCAGCATTCAAAGCCAGAGGACTATGGGTCAGAGAGCTAGTGGTTTCCCAGGTCCAAGTTTGAAGTGATTCCTATAGCTGTAGTAAATGGATAACAGGAAACATTGTCAGCTTTTGCTGTCCTTGTAAAACAGATAAGAAAAACCTTATCATTCTACATAAACAAATACTTCATAATAAAAAAATGTTTGAGTTTATCTGCTTTTCTCTCTTCTCATGCAGCTTTTGATAGTTTACCACCAGTGCAGTATAAGGAAACCATGAACACTGTCCTCTTGTGGATACAACAGTCAGAAGCCAAACTCTCCATACCTCAGGTTACTGTTACAGACTATGAAATCATGGAGCAAAGGCTCAGGGAACTAAAGGCAAGTACAGAGAATGTAACAAGACTGATGATCAATTATAGATATAATGTACGTTCTCATAGATGATATACTGACAGATTTCTGGATGTTCACCAAGGTAGTTTTCAGTTTGAACTCGATATTAAATGTAATATTTTTCATTTTCTAGGCTTTACAAAGTTCCTTGCAACAGCAACAAGATGGACTCAACTATTTAAGCACAACTATGGAAGAGATGTATAGGAAAGCTCCTTTAGAAGTTAGTAAAAAATATAGATCAGAAATTGAAGGAATTGTTGGCCGTTGGAAGAACTTATCAGCTCAACTGGTGGAGAATTGCCAAAAACTTGAGGAGCAAATGACTAAATTGCAACAATTTCAGGTTAGCTGTGGTTCCTTCCCCTCCCCCTTGTTTGTTCTTAATAACATAGCGGTTAATTGAGGTCCTGTTTGTCCCAGTGGGCCATATAGGTTTAATCATTTCATTGTGTTCCTTACTGGTTCAGCTGAAGTTAATGAGCCTATAAATGTATGTGAAGTGCCATCAGGTCACAGCCAATTTATGGAGATTCCAGTGAGCCACTTTCAAGGCAAATGAGAAGCAAAGGTGGTCTGCAATTGCCTTCCCCTACAGCATCTTTCTTAGTGGTCTCCCATCCAAGTACCAACCCTCTGACAAGATAGGGCTATACCATGTCACCTTCCCTCCTGAGACCATAAATAGACAGCTATATATACCCAGTGTGATATGTTACATAAAATGAATACCTCCTATGGTCATGACCTCCAATGGTCTGACTTACCACATGTGGGACTTGGGCAGGATGGGTGCCAAAGTCTGGGCCTCCTTGCACAGGGGTTGTCTGGGTGCCAGTGTCTGCTTTGCCCCAAGTGGGCTAAGCCAGATGTCACCACCTCCCCTATGTTGCCTCTCATATAGGGCCCCTGGGATGGGCTTTGTCTCCTCTGCCTTGGTGCCACCTCTGCCACCTTGTGTGGGGCTTGGGTGAATGAGGCTTAGCTCATCTGTTAGAGGGTTGGTGGCCCAGGTGGGAGTGCAGCCCATCAGGAAGCATTCAGGTGCTCTCAATGGCCTTTCCTCCCTGCCTGTGAGGTAAATTAGACTGAGAATTTGTATCTGGCTCAAGGTCACCTAGTGAGTTTCAAGAATGCAATGGCAATTTAAGGTCCTAGTCTGAAACTAACTACTACAACACACTGGAACTTTGGGGGAAGGGCTGCTGGTAGGTAAGTTGGTTGGCAGCGTCTCCCTCTGCATCTTTGCTGTGCCTGGCCCAATGAGTATTTCCCTCAAAGGCCAAAATATCACACACATGAAGCTGTGGTATACTGAATCAGACCATCGGTCCATCAAGGTCAGTATTGTCTACTCAGACTGGCAGCGGCTCTCCAGGGTCTCAGACACAGGTCTTTCACATCACCTACTGCCTGGTCTTTTTTACTGGAAATGCTGAGGATTGAACCTGGGACCTTCTGCATACAAGGCCATAGGTTTTCCCTGGAGAAGGCCTTCCCCCTTTCCCTGCCTGAAACCAAGCCTGTTGTGGTTGCCTACCAACCAATGGGGGATGTTTCTTAAAGCTACAGGTGCTGCTTTGATCATTTGGGGTGTTTTTTAATCCCTTAATACATTTTTCCTTTGGATTTCATATTATTTGGGGGTGGGTGGGTTTGTAGAAAGATCTGTCTTGTCCATTCATGGGTCCAGTCTCTTGATTTAAGTATTCTCAGATTTGGCTGACTTGGGTATTAGAATATACTAAGTGTATGGCCCATTGTGGGAAGAAATACAATGAGCTCTAGAAGGAAGCTCCAGGTGAGTGTCCTGGCTGTGGCTGGTGGGGCGGCAGAGGGAAGGGGAAAATAGAGGGAGGCAAGCCATGTTTATTTCCTTCTGCTTAGCTATAAGGCAGGGCAGTCTCAAGTCATTTTGCTACCCTAAGTGGGTAGTATGGGAGGACAAACTCATGGTAACAGGTATGGTTTTCTCCACCCCTGATTTATGTTGATTTGGGGCTATGCAGTGGCAGCTAAGGTAGAAAACCACCTCCTCCTGTGCTATGTTTTCTGGGTTCCAAGAGCCTGGAAAGTGGTTCCATAGCCAGTTACAGGGTTGCCAACTCTGGGTTAGGAAATACCTGTAGATTTGAGGGGTAGAGCCTGGGGATGGCAGGGTTTGGGGTGGAGAGGGACCTCAGAAGGGTATAATGCCATAGGGTCCACTGCCCAAAGCAGCCATTGTCTCCAGGAGAACTGATCTTGGTCATCTGGACATCAGATGTAATAGCTGGAGATCTCCAGGTGCCGCCTGGAGGTTGGCTTATGTTAATTTGGAGCTATGCCATGGCAGCTAAGGTAGAAAACCACCTCCTCCTGTGCCATGTCTTCTGGGTTCCAAGGGTCTGGAAAGTGGTTCCATAGCCAATTACATGGTTGCCAACTCTGGGTTGGGAAATACATGTAGATTTGAGGGGTAGAGCCTGGGGAGGGCAGGGTTTGGGGTGGAGAAGGACCCCAGTAGGGTATAATGCCATAGAGTCCACTGCCCAAAGCAGCCATTGTCTCCAGGAGAACTGATCTTGGTCATCTGGACATCAGTTGTAATAGCTGGGAAATTTTCTGTAGGGGAAATGATATGCTGTGGCTGGGGAACATGGTGATTTCTGGGAGATCTCCCGGTCCCCCCGGGAGACTTGGATATGTATTTCACCTCAGGACACATTCAGTGACTCGCAACAGCAAACTTAGAATGTTAGAGGGAAAGACCAATCAGGCTGCTTATGCAAATGACCTTTGTGTTCTGACTGACTATGGGGGGGAGAGGAACAGCAAACTATTTAGAATGTTGGAGGTGTTGGAGGCAGGACATAGGCTATGCAGCCAGTGGAAAGGGAGACCCTCTGAGTGACAGATCAGGGACCCAACTGATTTGGGAGCGTGCGGAATGTTCAGGAGCATCCATGACCAAAACACAATTATATATAAGGAGAGATAAGCAGGAACCTATCAGAATTTGTGGGGTAAATTTTATTTCCCTTCCCCCCATTATTTGTTCTTTCTCTTCCTTGAAAGTTCCTCTAGCCTCCCCCCTTTCCCGCCTCCTTCTGTTTCCCATCTGCCAACAAACCTACCTTTATCTCTTCACCATCTTCAGTTTTCCACTTTCCCCTACTCCTGGCACCCTCTACTGAGGAAAACTATGGGCCTTGCATGGGGCTTGGCCAGGCTCCACCATCTGTCTCACCTCACATGGGGCTTGGCTGGGAGCTACCTTGTACCTTACTTTGTGCAGGTGTCACCTGTGACTTGCCTTGCCTTGCCTTGTGCAGGGCTCAGCCAGGCTCCACCCTCTGCTTCACCTTGTATGGGGCTGGGCTGAGGAAGGCACTGTTATCTACCTTGCCTCACATGGGGCTCAGCCAGGCACTGCCATCTGCCATGCCTGGCACATAGCTCTGCTAGGTGTAAGTTTCTGGCTGGGTTTCAGTGAGCTGAGCCAAGCATTCACTACCTTCACCATCTTGCCTATTGTGTGGGGCCCAGCATTCTGGGCTTTATGTTCCCTGTCTCATTTTAGGATGATTGTGTACCTCTTCCACCTTGTGTGGGCCTTGTGTGGGTTGAGTTCAGCCCTTCTGTCAAAAGGTTGGCTGGCCCATTTTATTTTATTTTTTAGATTTGATCATTTATTTATTTATTTATTTTGCAATCCTTGGGTGTTTTCAGGTTTGTAGAAAGATCTGTCTTTTCCAGTCATGGTTCCAGTCTCAAGACAAGTATTCTTAGGCCCCGGTCACATAGGCCAGATAACACGGGGGGGGAGGCATGCCTATTTGCGCCGTCGCATTCTGATCCATCATTAGGTGATCAGACGCGATGGCAGCACACTGGGGCTTCCTCCATTGGTGCGCACAGCAAAGAAGATGACCCAGGGGAATAGCCGCACGCTAGTGCGATCACAATGCAGGAGTCCGTATGCAGCCCGTGGCAAACCATTTGCCAGTAGGTTGTTGCAGGTACCTTTTAAATGTGCATCTCCGGCGGCATGCCACAGGTTGGCCATGGGTGCGCTACGCCTCCCAGATGTTTCTGTGTGATCGCACCCGGAAAATCCGCCCGACTGTCGTGCCTTCCACAGGGCAAATGCTCCATGTGAACAGGGCCTTAGATTTGGCTGACTTGGCTATTAAAATATACAATCGGGAACCCGCAAGGACTTGCAGGGTGAATTTCCTTCTCCCTCACTATTTCATTTCTTTGAAGGCCCCCTTGAAAGCGCTGTGAGAAACAAAACCAAACCCTGTACTGGGGGCATTTTGAGTTTCTTTCCAACAAGGGGAAATAGATATGTACCAGGGACTACTCAAGTTTTTAATCTAAAGGTAATCCCTACTATTTTAAATGGGGTGGCAATAAGCATTAAGGCAGTCACCGAATCTATTGATTTTCCACTTCTTTGCTTCCTTAGAGAGCTGTTAAATATACCATGCTGTGTTGCTGGTGTGGCTTTGCGCACTGAATTTGGTCAGCTACCATTGAAGGCTAGGGCATGGATACTTGTGTTTAATCTGTGGCTAAAGCTACTTTTTTCTTTTAATGGCTATCTGGCCTTTTTGAAGGAGGATTCTTATAAATCATCATGGCTTAGGATCATGGACAAGAAATTGTCAGCTATTGGTTTTACTATAGAATCTATCAAGAAAGGTGGGGCTCGCTAAATCAGTAATTACAATTTTAAAAAGGATTAGGCAGATTGATTATAATAGTTCTATTCTTCCTGCTCCATGAGTTTGTTCATCAAAATACTTGCCCCTGATTCTTCCCTCCTATGCTAGTCATCTGACCTCACCTGCCTTCTTAGGGCTTTTATTCTTGCTAGAACGAATGCCCGTTCAACAGGGGTTATGAGAGGCTGGTTTTTGCATCTTCCCTACTCTGACAGAATTTGTTCTTGCTCCCTTGTTAAAATAGATACAATCTCTCATATTGTATTGGAATGTCCTCTATATTATAACTTAAGATATTGTTTTATTCTATTGTGGTTAGTGAATTTGTATGATCCTAATCCAAGCAGGATGGTCACCTTCCTACTCTCAGATGGTCACAATTGTTTTACTCCTTTTGTCTTTAGAGAAATATATGAGGAATATAAATGAAATTTTGGATTGTTACATTGCTCAAGGCACTGAGCCATAGAGCTTTTATTGGACAAATGAAAGGAAAGGAAAGCCCCCATAGCCTCTCCTTCTATTCTAACAGCCAGCCTTCTTCTCCCCATGTTTAGTTTTCTGCCCTACTCTACCCTGGTGTACTCTGCCCAGGAAAACTATGGCCCAACTGTGTGGTACCAGTTGCCAGAGCAGGCCCAGTGGCACAATGAAGAATCTGCAAGGACTTGCAAACTGCAGCCATTTTCCTGCCTCGACTTTCCCACACTATTTCCTCCTTCCTTCTACCTTTCGCCTTCCCATCCACCCATGTACCCTCCTTTTATCTGCCTCTCTGCAGCTATATTTATTATTTATTCTCCATAATTCTCAAACCACTTTACTTCATTTTCTCCATTTTTCCATCAGAACAAACTTGTCAGTAGGGGTGGAATGGGAGTGAATTCCCCCCCCAGGAAAGGGCCCCGCCCCTAAATCAGGGAGGGAGAGAGAAAGAGGCAGTTCACATTACCCTTCCCCTCCCTCCCAAAGGGCAATGGAAAGAGGGAAGAAGAGGCATCCTGCCTAACCAACTGGCCAGGTGCTGCTTCCCTCATCTCATGTGGGTCAGGCACTGCTTCTCTTATCTCATGTGGAGCTCAGCTGTGCTGAGCCAGGTATCACCCTCCTCCTTGCCTCATGCAAGGTTTGGCTGGGCTGGGTGCTCCATCTGCCTTCCCTTGCCACACCTCACATAGGGCTCGGCTGGGCCAGGCACTGCCATCTGCCTTGCCTCATGTAGGGTTCATTGAGCATCACTATCTTCCTCACCTTGCATGGGGCTCAGGCAGTTCCAGTCACTGGATTTAAGTATCCTCAGATTTGGACGACTTGGCTATTAGAATATATGCTGGTATAAAATAATGCCAGATATTTTTGTTATTTGCATTATTAATTTTTTAAGCTTTTTCAGATGTATCACTAATCTTCAAATTACTCTTCATTGTTTGGTCATAGTGTCATGCTGAATTAATTTACATAGTAAACACTTTGCATAATATAATTTGGTGTTTGTTTGGTTTTTTTGTTTTCCAAAACCAGAATGACACTAAAACCCTGAAGAAATGGATGTCTGAAGTGGATGTTTTTCTAAGAGAAGAGTGGCCTGCCCTTGGTGATTCAGAAGCACTTGAAAAACAGCTGGAGCAGTGTGCAGTAAGTCATGACTTGTGCTACACGCTTATACATCTGTCTCACATTTACTGGATAAAGTTTACTAAATAGTGAATATCAAGAACTACTACAAACCATTACCTTTCTTCAAATGAAACTACTTTGAATCTACTTTAAACAGTATGAGTTTGTTTTCACAGAGAAGCTCTGGAGGTCTTCTGATAATCTTTGTGCTTACTGTATTTGAACACAAAAATCAAAAAGGGAAGATTTGTAATACCTATGGAAGAATGTAGATGTACTTTTTTGTTTTGTCTAGCCTATGTGCAGATGTTTTGAGTGCTAAATGGCAAAAAATAAATATATTTAAATAATGACCAGGTATATTTATTCACCAGAAAATTGGGGAATTAGAACGATTTATTTTTTAGAATTTTGCACTCCGTAAATGTTTGGCTTGTGACTTGCACTTCACTGTATATTAATGTAGGTTGCATGTATTTATTTTCCCCATGTGAGGAGCTATTCACTATCATATCTTTATCAGGTTCTCATTTAATTGCCCCTTTGTGACAATTTGCTGTTTATTTAAAGAGTATGGTTCATGCTTGGATAAACTTTAGCCTCCTTGGTAAGTAGAAAATGTTACTTCAAGAATTATTAAAAATTATATTTATAATGTGATCTCTTTTTTTTTTTGTACTTGTATTAGAATGACACCTAGCTGCTGGCATTTTTTTTGCCCACAGTTTGCATTTGGGGCATAGTGTTGTGGAAGGAGATACTACTTAATGAGAAATAGCTATTACATATTTTAGTTTACCTATTTTTATAACTTACTGAAAATGGAATGAATGCATTTAATAATTCCATTATCATTCTCTTGTAAATGTAACAGTTGTCGTGACATTGCAAGAAAAGGCAGTAATTTTTTAAAGTTATGTGCCTCTTAAAACTTGACATTCTCACACACATGCTAATTTTTTTTATAAAAATGTGAATTGAGAAATTTATGAAATATTTATGTTAGCTGACAGTCCCACAAATACAGTGAAGCCATTACCTCAGTGCCATCTTTGTTCGGTTGCTCTAATTTTCTTCCTGGGGCTGCTTCCACATGACAAGCTGTTCATACATATAATATCCCACCATGGAAATTAGTGTTTTTCTTAATATAAGTGTGTGCGTATACATGTAGAAATAAGAGAAACTAGGCTACAAGTTGAAGGAAACAGCAACTGAAATTTATTTTCCTGCTGAAACCCTGAAGCTTCCATGAATGGTGCTACCTAGTGGCCATTGTGCTTCTGCACCTAAGACTACCTCTCCCTTGATAACCAGGAAGGATAAAGACCACATAAATAACAAAGCTTATTAATCAACTTAATAATGAACGCTGTAATATCCTGCAGCATTTAGGACAGAGCAACTAAGTCAACAGCTTCATATTGGCCATTTCTGTTGGCATGTAACAACTTACTCTTTCCTCCTTGGACCTTCAGATGCTTCATAAGTTCTGAAAAATGCTGGAGATCATCTTTCCACTTTCTCACAGAGGAGATTGCACTCAGTGTCAGGGACGTATCGTGGTTCCTATTGTCTTCATATTGTGGTTCCTATTGTCTTCCTATTGTCTTCATACTTCATCCTATTGTCTTCATATTGTGGTTCCTATTGTCTTCATATTGGGCATGCTTGCAAGAGTGTTGGAAAATCTCCCACCTCAGTCAGTTTAGTGTTAGGTATACTGTAATTGTTCAATATGGGAGTATTGAAATGTATGATTCCAGCTTCTGTGCCATGATACCCTATAATCTTTAGAAATACCATTTAGAGTTTTGAGAATGGTTTTGCAACCTTAATATCCTCAGTAATGGTATCTGGACCAATTTCACTGAAACCAATTCCACTGGAACCAATTGCGCTGACTTCCACTTACTTCCAGTTTACTACAGTAATGATAGCGATGAATTGGTCAATTCGGGCTACTGAGCAGGGTTCCTGCTGAGCAAGTCGCTGCTGAAGCAGGAGTAGATGAGTCAGCCACCTGAGAGGCAGCTATAAACAAACCTAGCACCCAGAAAGAGGGGGAACTGTCCCCCTGCCACTTTCTGTCCCCTCCCATGTAGTTCTCAGGTCACATTACCACTATATTTAATTCTCAACATGGCCCATCTGTGGATACTTGAATCCAGAAATTGGAGGCAGAAAAAGCAAGACAGATCTGAGAAAAGCCCCAGGGTTTGCAGCAAAGAATGAAACCTAAAATTAAATACATTTGGGATTAATACCCCCTCCCCCAATAATAACATAAGAAGAGCCCTGCTGGATCAGACCGATGGTCCATCTAGTCCGATGTCCTGTCTCATACAGTGGCCAACCAATTACTCTGGAGGGCCAACAACAGGGCATAGAAGCTGAGACCTTTCCCTTATGTTGCCCCCTGGCTCTGGGATTTAGAGATTTAGTTTCTCTGAATGTGGTAGTTCCCCTCAGCCACCATGGCTAGTAGCCACTAATAAACCTATCCTCCATGAATCTATCTATAAGAATAGAAGCGGGTCCTGAAGCTTTAAGAAATGGGCACTTTCTCTAATATCTGAGTGGCCATTTGGGGAGTTGCTTGGCAACCGCAATAATATTGCCAGCCTTCAATCCTTGATACTCTATCAGTAAAAGGTGGGTGAGGAGGACGGTGCCCTTTCCAGCATTGTTTTGGCCTCCCAGTCTATTCTTTCTCTCTGTGTTGCCCTGGAGAAAGGATTCATCATGGCCAGGCCTGGCACCAACCACTGAGTGACTTGCTAGCTTGTGACTTGGGCAACTCACCCACGTCTTGCAGTAACTACCTGAGGCTTAGTGCTATGTGATACCTGCCACTGCACATCTCATCTGGGCAACTCACTACCATTTTGAGTGATTCATGGTTGGACAACCTGATGCCACATAACTCCCCTGGACCCAGCAGTAGCTACTGCACAATTTGTATTATTTAGCTGGGCTCAGCAGTGGCCACCAAACATCTCACCTGAGCTACTTGCTACTGCATTATGTTTGCAACTTGGCTGAATTTTTCCCATGGAGAAGGTATCCAAAGGAGAGAATGAGGGAAAACTTTCAGGCAGTATGGTATAGTGGTTAGAATGTCAGACTAGGATTTGAAAGATGTGGGTTCAAATATTCACTCTGCCATTGAAACTTTCTGGGTGTCCTTGGGCCAGTCATTCTCTTTCAGCCTAATCTACCTCACAGTGTAGTTGTGAGGATAAAATGGAAGAGGCAAAATGATGTAAGCTGCTTTGGGTCCCCACTGGTTAGAAAGTTGGGGTATAAATGAGGTAAATAAATAATAAAGCTGAAGGGTGGGGACAGATAAAAAGGAGATTGGTTGGTGGATGGGAAGGAGAAACGGAAGCATGGAAAGGTGAGATGATATGGGAGCTGCTAGGAGGTGGAGGGAATGAGGAAATAGTGTGGATAGGAGGATGCAGGAGGGGAAAGCTCCCTGCTTCTATCTCTTAATGTCATGCATCCTGGACACAATTCAAGGTGCTAGTACAGTAGGTATCCTCTGTTATAATAGCAAAATAGTGGGTTAGTGACTTGTGGGGGTTGAAGGAAGTATCCCAAGAGACAAGTCAATAACTATTTCAGTATGCTGGAATTTTTGGTTAGTGAGAAGTCCCAAGTGAAATCATTCTCTCCCTCCCTCTTGTAGAAATACTGTCAGTCCAGTAAAGCTTTGGTGTATGAAACTACAACTGTTTTAAAGTAGAGTTCTGCTATCCCTTGCTATAAATATCCAATACCTTATTACTTCCCTCCCTTATCCACCAAACCACTAGGCACTGAGCCCTTGTAGGGAAGAAAAAAGGTGTTGGTGTGAATCATACTGGAGGGAGAGGAAGAACAGAAATTACCTGTAATAGCAGCACATAGTCCAGCAGTTATTTGTTAACATTGCCTTACTGGCCATTTGCAACCCACATCTTAAGTAAAAACAGCTACAGGAATGTGTGACATGTTGTGGGGGAGGAAGCTGAGAAAGCAGCTAGACATCACTATCTGCCTCTCTGAACCTGGAATAAGGGGCACCATGTTATGGTGGCTTGAGTCATATCTGGGTTGTTCTCAGAAGTTGATGTTGGTGGATTTCTGTTCTTTCTCATGGCCTTCAATCTGTGGGGTTCTGAAGGGTACAGTCTTATTTCCCCATGCTATTTAATATCTATGTGGACTGTGGTATCGCCAATTGCGGATGACACCCAGTTATACTTTTCCACCTAATTTCAAGAATGCTATTGATGTTCTGAACCTCTAAGGAGGAGGCAGTAATGGGATGGATGAAGATGAAACAATCCTGATAAGACAGAGGTTCTCTGGGTTAGTAGGAAGGCAGACCACAAACTTGAGATCTCCCGTCTTGGATGAGGTTATCCTCCCCTTGAAAAGCCAAGTCTGCAGTTTGGAAGTGCTGCTTTGACACAACAGTCATCTTAGAAAACCAGGTAGCTGTGGTGGCTCAGGGCCATCTATTGGAAGCATGTGACCACAATACTACAGCAATTACACTGGTTTCCAAACCGCTCCCAAGCCCAGCTCAATATGTTGGTTTTGTCCTTTAAAGCTTTACATGACTTGGGACCAGGATATCTGAAGGACCATCTCCTCCCATATGTTCCTGCACATGGAGAGGCCCTCCTGATTGTCCCAGTGACCAAAGAAATTAATCTAGTGGGTACACAGGAGCTTTTTGCTGGCAGCCCCATGATTATGGAACAACCTCACCATGGAGGTAGTTGAAGGAAGGAATTTGACTAAAGTTTTTAATTTGTTAGCAGTCCTACTTGCAATTTTAAATTATGGTCTTATTTTATCATTGTTGTTTTATTTACATTGTAAGCCACCTTGAATAGAAAGGCAGCTAAGGCTGTAGTCACATGCACCAGTTGAAGCAGAGGGGAAGCAAGACTATTTCCTCTGGAGGAATTTGACACGCAGTTGCGAGATTGCACAGCCCTTTGAAGCTGCAGGCTCAGCCC